AAACTAAACTCTAATAGAACATAATTAACCCAAACATAAATAATATAAAGAAAAAATAATTTTGAAAAAATGGCATTTTTGTAAAGATTTCAAAAGTGTGGCATTTTTGTAAAGTGGCACTTAAAAAGTGGCATTTTTTGAAATTTCTCTATTAAGAAACTAATTCATGCACTTATGTCAATTTAACATTTTTTTAAATATAGATATTAAGAAACTAATTCATGCACTTATGTCAATTTAAGGCTACTATCTTCGTGACTTCTGAGCAAATTTTCCAAGAGAAATTTTAAAAAATGCCACTTTTCAAGTGTCACTTTACAAAAATGCCACACTTTTGAAATCTTTACAAAAATGTCACTTTTTAAAAATTATTTTTCTTTATATTATTTATTTTTGGGTTAATTATGTTCTATTAGGGTTTAATTTTGAGTGTTTAGGGGGTTTTAGGTGTCAAAACATTTTTTAGGGTTTAGAATTTTAAGATATAGGCTTTATAAATCTATAATTAGTGGCATTTTTGTAAATAGACACCCCTAAGTGGCATTCTTGCAAATGTGCACATAAAAAATGACATTTTTGTAATTTTCCCATTTTCCAAACATAGATAACTACTATTAATATTAAATTATCATAGCTGGCACTCTATCATATATTTTAAATATTGTACCTCTACATATATTTTTCCAAATATAAATTCTTATTTAAAAATATATTTACAATTTCCTCTAATAATCCCTTATTATTTCTCTATACATATTTTATTTACAAATATAATTTATTTTTGAAAAAATAGACTAAACATCATTTTAAAATATAGATAGAAAATTAATTTTATTATATGTTATTGGCTAAAAAAATCACAATAATTGAATTTTTTTTATACTCAGATAGAATACTAAGACTTGTGGTCTTCATATGTTTGTTACTTGATTCATGTACCCAACATTTTGAATATTGTGATTTTTGGGGTCAATTACTTGAAATTTGATTGTCTTTCTATATTTTAGATAATTTAAAATATTAGTGGATATCATCTATATTATAATAATTATGAATTTATATTTTGAAAACATATAGGAAAGTAAAAATATAAATTTGACAAGAATATGTTTGAAACTACTGTCAAGCTTCATGAACTTGTAGTTTTAAATTTACCTGGATTCATGAAATGATTTATATTTTCAAAAAATACAGGTATTTCTGATCAAAGTTAGTGGATTCAGACTAAAATTTTATATGAAATCATTCTTTAGTGAGTGAGAGACAGACCTTCGAAAAACTAAGAATCATAAACTAGGGAATAAGAAAGAACCATTTCTTCCACAAAATATAAATTAAAGGAACCAAAAACCCATAACTAAACCAACCGGTTTAACATACGGTATAGGGCAAACGGTAAAGTAGCAGAAGAGGCAATAAGCAGAACTCAAAATCAGAACATTATTTCTGGTTTCATAACATTAATAGAATTTTGTTCAGCACACAAAGAAGCCACAATTTTATTATTACTATCAATGAAGTCTTGAAAACAGAAACTGGATACATCAAGTTCAAAAAGAAACACAAACCCAAAAGTCTTAAACCAAAACACTACGAAAGTTCCTGAATGAAAAAACACATAATCTCTCTGATTCAACGAACTCTGCATCACATCAGAGAACATAGGTACTCTTCTTGATGTTCCTTCTACAACATCAAACCGCCATTACCTGATTCAAGGAACAACAAATCAAAGCGGATTAGAAAGCAAACAGGAATGAAACATTGCATCGTTATATATAAACATAACTTACATGGAAGTACGCTTTCAGTAAAAGGGAACACAGCAGGACTCTCAAATGCAGCAGAATTCACCCTTTTCTTGCTCCAGGTTCCAGTATCCACATCAAAATAATACCAACGTTTGTCAGTCATGCATATGATCTGGTTTTCTGATGACGTCATGGCTAAAACCAACTCGAGGTCGTCGATTGGAGTCTTATCTACGTATTCAAGTACCCAAGTACTAGACGTCTTGTCGCCTTCCTTCCGTACCCATGTATCCATGTAGCCCGGATGTAGAATAACCATTGAGAGAGCTCCTCTCAGATTGATCAGATAGCTAGCCTCAGTTATGCTATCTTCCTCTTTTAGGCCATCTGGGTAAGGAGGCAACTGAATCACCTCGAATCTCCCTCTCAAATCTACAGATAGAATCTTACCACCATCAACTAAGGATGATAGCCAGTAAACTTTTCCTCCGATAAAAACATGGCCAGATCTTAATGGACTAAAATAAGATTCCATCGGAAGACAAGGCACGGGGCCGATGTTTTTCCAAGAAACAGTGTTTGAAGAATACATCTCACATTCATATGCGAGATCAAAACGATATTTTCTAACCATATGACCATCTTGAATAACAAATCTATCAAATACCCTTTTCTTTCCCGCGCAGAATATGCGAAAAACTTCGTAATCACTAATGTCGGAGTGATAAGCTACTCCGACACTAGGCACAAACTGATACGAGGGTCTCCCTTGTGGAAGAAGGAGTGTCTCCCCCGTACACGGATTACAAATCCATATCTGCAGATCACATAACTCGTTTTCTACATCTTTGTCACATCTCTGATTTATGCAACAAATAAGTCCGTTGAAGGACGATATCATGTACATCTGTTCTTGATCACTTCTCTCAGAAGGATTAATCCTATTCACATTAGAAAGTTTGAAACTTCCTGGTTTCATCGAATACAACTTCATTTTACTATCCCTAATTTGACCGACAATGAATGTGGGATTCTCCCTTGATCTATTTAACTGCTGCTTAGCAAAAAGCTTATTTCTAACTGAGCCATACCAGTATCTGTTGATTGTCTGAAAGGAACGTATAGATTGAACAGGCAATCGCGACAGGATGTCACTAAAGACACCCTGTTCAGATTCAATCTGACTCCATAATACTTGCTTGCGACGTTGCAGAGTTTCAACCATTTTTTCTTTGCTTTCTGTTGCGAAGGCTCTGCAT